GTGTGTATCATATCAACATCAACAACAAATGTTATATTATTGTTAATCACGTTTTTAAAGTTGCCTCATAGTGTTCACATGTAAGTCGATAAAATGGTAATCAGCAAAGTGTTTTCTGTCAGACCATCAACCCTCCCTTTTGTGAAACCACCTGATTTATATACGTATATTATGCCATTGTGGAAAGCAAATATGAAGTTATTATTGCCTCATAGTGGCTCAACAACCTTAAGAGGATCATTTTATTCTAAATCTGTTTCATTTGGTGCCACATAAGAAAAAATTGACACATAGATCCAAAACATTTCTCTGGTAATTCTAGGATTATTAACAGACACGATTTACTGGACTCTAGGTTAGGACGTCAAGGCATGTATAACATGTGACTTTGAGACTGACATGCTTGAAAACCCCTTTAGATCCAAACAATGGCAATTTAAATAAAAAGGAAGCCAAGACTGGTGTCTTTCAGTGTTTACAATTTACAATGAATAGAAACACTAATTGTGTTCAGATCATCATGCCCTTAAGTACACCATAAATTCAGCCTGCATTGTGTCTCAGTTTATGGCTCGTCTCACCATGCAACCCACTGTAGAAAGTTATCATCGGACTCAAGTGTCAATATAAGTTTGTAATAAAAAAGAGTTTCACTCCTATCACCACATAAGCCCATAATCTTTAACGGTTGTGTCTTTCTTTAAAACCTCACCGAGCTGTATTCATGTTAGAATACCGAGGTGTTCATGATCAGCGACATCTTCAGTCCTCTACAGAATCCAGACCCACCCAGCTGAGTTTCATTCACTTTTTCTACAGTCTCAATCCGAACTACAGTCCCAGCCGGGGCTTCCATGTGCGACTGACACATAAATAACCAAGCCTGTCCGCCACCCAGGCAAATTCAAATGCACCTGTCAAAGTGATGAAGCACCCGCCCGCAGGGAAGCATTGTTTACATTTTCACTCCACTCTTTGCAAAAGTGAGATTCTAATTATTTTCCCACTGTAAATTAAAGCCAAGTGGGACAGAACTACAAAACCAAAAGGATCATGTCAGTGGAGAGAACCCCTGCCCTCCCACCATATATGTGAATGTGTGAAGTGGGCAAATAGCTGCCAAAAACATGTGGGTGGCTGAGGGAGGGAAGGTCAGCGACTTCCATCTTTCCTGGAAGAAACCGCCAGGGAGACAATAAAGGAGGGGTGGCAGGAGGTTTTCGGTAACATTTTAACCACCTATAGAGCGAGAACAGCTCTGTCACGACCAATAATAAGTCCCCAAAAGCTCCGACAAACATTTCTGACACGATAATGTGCCTAAACGTGTGGCGGATTATTTTTTTTGTACCGGTTCACAGAAAGAGACAGACATGTTCAAGGGGATCACGGAAATCGGAGGTAAAATTACTCATAGGAAAGCTCATTCGGGGAAGAAAGAGAGCATGAATAGTAATTATGGTATCTAGTTTGGATCAATCATTAAGGGATCAGGAGGACTGACAAGGCTGTTTGTGTCCATGCCTTAGGCTCCTGTTTTGGACAGTAGCCAGCCTGGCTTGGCTCAGTTTTCCTGCTCTTGCAGACTGCTCCTTCTCTCCTCCTTTCAGTTTCGCACAGACACCCAGTCTGTACATACATCATAGAGTCTAAATGTGCCAACAAGTGTCCTAAACTAGAAGAAACCAAGGTGGACACTGATTTGTATCGCAAATGGCATGTGCATCATCTGTATATTCCCTCTGGCTGAGCAAATTTGTGTTTATTAATTACTAATGGGTTCTTCGACTTGTCAGGGTAAAGAAAAAAAATGGATTAACAGTCAGATTATTTAACTGTGTGCGATTTCTTATATGCCCTTGAGGGTTTGTTATTACTTTAACAAAGTGCTTTGAACCCGGGAAAATGGTGAAGTTTACTATGAGGTCTTTAGGTCAAGTTTGTGAAATGTTTTGATTGTCAGCAGACACATCAGATGGATTTTTGCCGCTATTCACAGTGAACTCTAGACTCCATGTTTAAGTCGGCTATGAGAAGAAAATAAAGAAAGACACTAATGTATGTGACAGTCAAGGACACTGAATATACAAATATGCTGTCCCTTTCCCAGACTGTTCTTTGGCCAGCGTGTCACCCAGTGGAATTTTAGTATTTAAGGCTTTCTTACAACCTCTTTTTAGCTGAGACCTGCGAATTGAAATCCTATCTTGGGTAGGCTATAACTACAAGTCTTGCGTATAACATTACAAAAAATACTGATCAGAACGTATCCATTTACCTCAGAGGCTTGGATCACCAATCCATTGGCCTTGAGCAAATCAGAAGAGAGCATTATGCGGTCTGTGACAGGAATCTAAAATCCATCTCATAGTGCATCTTATGTTTACGGATACTCGAATTGGAAACGACAGGTTGACACATTAGTCAAATTTGATCCCGAGTTGCACTGTATAATTCAGGAAGAAACCATTCCGCAGCCACTCTCCTCAAACGGACAGCTTTTATTCTGTGCTCATGTGTGGTGTGCTGTGATTCAGAAGGTGTGAAATCACATCTTCTCCCAGGAAGACAGACAGACTTTATTTGTGAACCATGGAGCCATGTCTGCAGCTGTGCCATCCCCACATCCTCTGCCTCTGTTCCTCCCTCCCATTCCCCATGTGCATTTGCGGTAATGTCTACAAATTCTGAAATTTATGTCCCTGCTAGAAAACATGGTTTACTGTTTATAGCCCTCCACTAAAAGAAATAAGGCCCGTCTCTCCTGATACAAGTCAGAGAACTGATGCGGACTCTATCAGATTTCTAAATACAGACCTCGACGATAAATCCTGCCTTGATTGGGTTTGAATTGGGTTAGCTCACTTGAATGCTATCTGCTTAACCCACAGCTGGCCTGTCTGCTCCATGCAGGCATTGAAACTAAATCAGTCACTTAGTGCTATCAAATGGAACAATGGTGGAGTGGAGAGAGCACTCAGGCTAGGGCTAGAAGCCAGGCTAGCGCCATAACGCAACACAGCAGACCAGAACAGAGCAGTGCAAAAGCGGACAGGCCCCCTAATGCTCTCTCCCTTTTTTTTTGTGTCACAGCACTGATGCTTCTTGAGAGCCATGGTGCATTGCATGAAATGGCATCACCCAAAACGAACAGACAAACACCTTTTCAGTTCTTTTGTTTGCTCTCGTCAACTGGATTTTACGTGCTAATCGGTGTAGGTTGGTGGCAAAGCTAACATAGGATAAAAAAAAAAACTGTTTAAAAATCTATTTTCATGCATGCTGCTATACATACACATGCACGCCACATTGGATGATTCAAGCAGGTGCGTTTAACCGAAGTGACATACAATTTAGAATCAGAACACACAGCGTTTCTATCTCCACTGTGCAGCTTGGTTAGCATAACATGGGAGAGGGTCCATTAATGGTCCATAGTGACACCAACAGTGCCCAGTAAAACAGTTATTTTTCTCACATTTAAAGGTTTGTGTTCTTTTTATGCAAGTCAACTTTTATACCAAGTTGAGAACTGCTACAATGGAAGGGATCTGATTTGCTAGCACTGCCAACTGTGTTTTCCTCAAAAAAACAAAAAAAAGGAGCAAATTAACATACACATGCTATCCAAACAAACTGATTACTGCCTCGCAGAGGTGCTGATTACTTAAGAAATTCAGGTAATCAGTTTTCTTCCAGTGTGGGCCGAGGCCAAGCTCGAGGCAAGGCGCAGCTGAGGCGGTTTCGCTAATGATAGTCTAAATTAGCGTTCAGTAGATGCATCCCAGCATCCCCTTCTAACCTTCCACACAGACGCACACACTCAACTTCCCTCTCCGAGTCTTCTCTTTATGTGCTTTCATGACTCTTTGACACTTTGACAATGAGGTCCTTTCTACTTACAGGGTCGTCTGCTTTGTACTCGATGCTATGGCGCTAATTGCGAGCGCGGTAATGGCTCCTACTGTTTTTGTCAGCGAAGTGCCTAGAGTTGTGTTTGGCGAAAACCGTTTATAAGTGTGGGGGTGACATCGATACGGCGGCCAAATTAAACCTCTCCTTCAGCTTGACCCTGCCACTCACGGCCCCGTCGAATGAGCGGGCCCTTTTTCCGGAATTTTCAGAGGAGTCATAATTATACAGCCAATTAGGGGGTCACCTTGAAAAACTTCCTCCTTCTCTTGACTCTGTGTGTGTGTGTGTGCAGTTTCCACTGTTGTGAGTCTGAGTTAATGTTTAAATAATGGCCTTTTATAGCTCTTCAGGAGTAAACGTGTGTGCATGTGAACATGGGCTGAAAAGAGTGCTTCAATTACTCATTGGTGCTATTCTTTCCCCCCAGCAGCTTAAAAAAAAAACTAAAAAGCCTATCAAAGTTTGTGTCCTGTGTCTGAAATTGATCTTTTATAAGCAGATCTTATTCGTAGATTTTTCGATAAAGTGATTTTTAGGATCTATCGCGATATGGTATCCCGGTTAAACGCTCTCAGAGAGGGAAAGGGGCCTTCCATGATCTTCACACATGGATGATTTCAAGTTACATGACCTATATAACATGTTACACGCCTAGCTTGCTCTCGTGGCCTATCCCAGTGCAGAAGGGCAGCACTTTACAGGTGTGCAAGTCCGTGAATCACGCGCATGGACACACAGAGAAGGGCTCATAAACAAGCCGGCCACCTGGATTATGGAGCTCATAATCACACACGCAACGTGTCTCTTTACCTGGCACAGCTCCGGTCCCATAGGATTCACATTCTTCCCACCAGCAGAGCTCATCTGATGGCTCCATTTTCATGTTGTATGCTGTTTTTTCTTGTCTTTTTTTTTACAAAATTTCTCCTCAGTGAAGTCTAACTTGTCCACCTGATCTCGTTTAGCATCCCCTCTGAAATCGGAGACCTCTGAGCTTACTCTAAGCTTTGTAAAACTCAACATGGGAGAGTTTCGCAGCCCTGACTTGCAGCCGTATTTCTCTCTCAACATCTGTGATCGAACAGGTGGCCGTTTATGACAATATCTGGACATCGGAGGACCCCCAATCAGGTTCTGCAGCCTCCGGTGATGGATCCCATCCTGAGGAGGGTGCACCATCGCCAGAGAGTGAGACCAGCACGCATGTGATAATCTACACGCTGTATCTGAGTGGGCTGAGACAAAGATACAGGCACTTCCTGCGACAGCCCGATGGGACAATTATTGAGGTGAGATAGAAATAGCGAAGTATGAGGTCTTTATATGCTCTTGTTGTGTGTCTGCTTATCCCTCGAAGAGGGATCGGTCCTCAGTTTCAGAATTAATCGATGATAGAGGGTGTAGCCCAATCAAAAGCCTTGTTACATTTGAAACCAACGTGATCTTTTTTATTACTGTTCGCACACCTTTGATTTTTGTGTCCAGACTGAAGCTGAAAACACTCACAAAATGACAAATGAACAAGTTTGAAAGAGGTGGAATGGAGGTTAGAAAAATACAGTTTCCATGTTTGGATACTCTTTTGGGAACTATTTTCTTTTAAAGGAACAGTCTGCTATTTCTGTTTTAATTACACTGAAAGGCAACAATATAGTACTCATGTTTGAGTTGTTTTCTGATTTTCAAGTGGAAATTTAAGTCATTCTGAATCCCGACGAACAAAAAAGACCCAGACCGCTATGTAAGAATGACTTTTACTAATAATAAATAAACCTTGTACCCATGTCCATGTTTCAGGCTTTCTGAAAAATGCTGGATCATGATGATTATGATTACATTTGAAGGAGGAAGGAACACACTGTTCTTGTGACTTTGCCACCCAATGTAATTTATAGATCCTTGTCTGGCAAGTATTGTGCACATCAGGTCAGACCAAATCAAGAGCAGCGATTTACGGCAACTGTCGCTTTAGCAAGAACACATCCAGACATTAAGCATTCTGTCCCTTGCTGAGCTACCTGGATCATCCTGTCAAAATGAATATTTGGAAGTTTGAATGTCACAGTGAGGAGGGAGGATGCTTGATGCGCTAACAATTAGCTCAGAGGCTCTGTTGCATTCTAATGGTTCTCAATCATAATTTGACTGATGAAGAGCTTATGTGAGTAAACACACTGCATGCTATATCTATTACGGGTGTCACACTGTCTGCGTGTGCGTCTGGGTGTGCGTCTGGGTGTGTGTGTGCTCGTTGCCTCTAGACTTGTGCATAGCAGATGTGACATCTGGGGGGATCGTTCACCGCCAAGCATGATTCGGGCACACAGACATGCACACAAACACTTCTGTACGTAAACAGATCTTTTCTCTCTCTGTGAGCCGAAGTAATGGGGAAATTGCGAAAGAAACCCTTGCAAAACTCATCCTTTCTGTAAACACGCACACGCATATACTGTTGCAAATTCACAGCACTAATAAGCGTAACAATCACAACCTTTATCTCCGTTTGAGAATTCAAGTCAGATGCCTCCTTTTTTCTTTTTTTCTATTTCAAACCGTGGAGCAAATCTTATCTTCACAGCTCTGGGAGTTCTATGTGTCACTGTTCTCAGAAAAGTCTCCTGCACACGCCCTCTCGTGCTCTTTCCCCTTCGAACATACAAGCATTTCTTTCTTTTTCTTTTTTTTTTGTGGTTGTCTTTTCCTCGCAGCCTCAAATCCAAAGACCTTCTGTAGCTAAAAAGATGCCGGTGGCGTCCTCTTTCACCGCTTTCGTCGGTAGCAGGGAGTGATAACACCGGTGTGCAGCACTGTGCTGTTCCCCCTTCCCCTCCCAGCACAAGCCCTCACTTTACATTTTCATACCTAATCCTCTCCCCCCGAAACATATCGTCTGGTTTTATGTATAAAGTATGATCAAGGAATCACCAAAGGCCATCCCCTTGCTCTTGGAGGAGCACTTGAGCTGATTTTATTAGTGGTTTATATAATTCTAGCAGTAATATACACACTGCGAGAGGGGGCTGTGTACAAACTGTCTTCGAGATGTGAAGTGACAGCTCCTCAGAAAGAGAGAGAGAGAGAGAGAGAGAGAGAGGGATAAATGGGTCAGATTTGAAAAAATAAAGTGATAAAAATACACTCAATCGAAAACAAAGGCAGATTTAGGATACCGCATCAATCCGTTCTGCTCTTAAATTTTCATTCGAAAAGGATTGTATGTGTTTCCCTTTACAGGTTTATTACTTATTAACAGGACATCCAAGTGATCGTGTGTTTTATAGCAGTGCGGTTGTACAATTACCAGGCAGGGAATGTGAATGAATCATTCTGCACAAATCTCACATTTGGTCTGAGGACGTGTGTTTTGTCAGGGTTGGTGCGGATCACACTTCACCGTGCCAACAGTAACAAAAAAATATTTCAGCTTGATTAACCCGTCCGGTTAAGGGGACTATATTCTTTCCTCAAGATAACTAAACATCCAATCCTGCAACTTTGGAAGTCTGTTTCCATTCACTGAGGAAAGATTGACGGATGGCTCATTTCCTTGAAAGAGTTCTGTTTTTACAGTGAGCAGATTGCACCATAGTGCCCCGGAGGACTTCTTCCACACATAGACTAACGTGACCACAGCTCCAGGGACTGGTAGCTTTGTGTAATAGCTACACATTTACACCCCAAATTTTGTCTAAACATACACTCTGATGAGCAGGCCCCTGGACGAAGTGCCCCGAGGAGTCGGAGACACTGTTTGGCAGGAATTAAACTCCAAGATGGGGCTCTGTTTGATTTCCTTAAGAGTGAGAAACTGAGCAAAAGTCGTGAGAAGCCTGTTTATTTAAATATTGTTGAACCAGCTATTTTGAGTCAAAGTTCCCTTTGCAAAGCGTCTTTGATTGGGAGGAGGGATGCCGAAGTTCTTTATGTGTAGTAAAAGAAAATATAACGATAATGGGAGTCTTTATTGACTTGCATATTGACTTCTGTTTAAAGTGAGTTAATATTAATGATCCGTCATGTGCTCTCATAGTTGCCCAAGGCAGGTGTGTTTAATACTGACCATGTTGAAGGAATCTTCTTGCTGATTCACAGCAATGCCGAAAGTTGAAGCTATGTTCCCATCAGTGCGCTCCAATAAAAGACATTAAAGGTAAAGCGAGGTGTAGCTTTTCAAACACTCATTACCTATAAACAGATGTTCTCCAGCTGCCGACTCGCAAAAAGCAGTGCTGACAACAACTGTTAGGGCCAAAATTATGCACAGAACGGCATCCATATAATCCAGGACCTTCAGAGAACGACTCATAACCACTCTGTCTGTAGAAACAAGATGGCTGATGTAGAAATTAATGCAGGCAAAGTCATTATCTTCCCCTCCTAAAAACACAGTGGGTTTATGTCCCCCCGTGTCGCTTTTTCTCTGGGGCTAGCATTTAAGTGTCCGCGGACTTATAAAAAGATAGGACAAGCCAACTGTGCTCCTTTTGTCTCTCTTCCTCCATATGGGAGGCAGCAGCATATGCAAGAACTGGCTCAGCTTCTGTAAAACTTCCATTAAAGATGCACAACTAAGGCTCTGCCAGCTTGAATATTACCTCTCTCTGCAAATTATTTATGGCTTGGAAAAAACGCTGATGGTGAGCATCTCTAGTGATTTGTATAAATAAAAACACTTTTCCCTGCAATTTCTGTGTTGCTCTCTCTCTTTCTTGGGGAAGCACTCGGCTGCAAAAAAACAAAACAAATGGTGTACATTTTATTTAACAGTGAGGTTTTATTTGCTTGACATTTAATTATCTTACCGTCAGCAGGAGTGAACGTGCAGTGGCATAATTAAAAGAAGAAATTCCTCTCATAGGATATACATTTTACTGATTTTTAAAAAATGTTTTATAGAAATTTTTTTTAAATGCTGAAGGATTTAATATAGCATTTTTTTGAGAAGCTGAGAAATGGAAGGCAGACTGAATCACAATTATGTTTTTTTTCCTTCTTAAAAAGTGTTTTCGTTTGCCTTTACACCTCTCATTAACAAATACTTTTTTATTTCCCTGCCCCGCAACCACTGGCTGTCCATCTGCATATGACCGCAACTCTTTATTGGCCCGGCATTGATCTAATTTAGCAAACAGAAAATATGAAGAAGTTAACCTTTTGAAAACACACCTCGCAGCCACATTAATTGACAAACCGCGTCAATTCTCCCTCCAAGCCCCTTCTTTTTGGTAATTACTCTGCCGCACGCTTGATTGCTGCTATGGAGCCGGGGACCCGGGCTCCATTTGTCGTTAGGTCATCAGCAGCCGTCAGAAATATGAATTTGATTTGGACAGGAAGTGAGTGCGCTCTGTCGGTGTCTGTGCTCACCCTGTATCTCCCTCATGTGGCGTGTGTGTGGCAGCTAGGACTGGGAAAGGCAAAGAGATAGGGGGAATGTCCTTGGCCATTCTCTGTATGTTGCATGAGGAGATTAATGCCTCCCTGGCAGCCATATCTGCTTAGCAGGAGGACTTTTCCAAAGTACACTCTATGTAATTATCTAGCTAGTTTATATATATATATACGGTATATATATAGTACAGAGTAGACAGTCTGTAACAATATTTGTTTACATTATTGCTGCTGTTGTCTATCTGACTTCACTTATGATTTCGTCGACTTTAAAAGTCGATTAGTTTGTTTATCTTATCATTCCACAATGTCTATCTGTGATATTTTAGTTGCACCTCCCATGTCTGTAAAGAAGTAGGCCAACCCACAGTCGGGAAAGCTGTTTCCCCTCTGGGACAAGAGGCAGTGTGTCATAGAAAGTCTCCATTTTTTTTTTGCTTTTTTTTTTCTTCCAACTTAACTGTTAAGCACTGGGACATAAGAAGAGACTGCGCGCGGCAACTCTACTCACGGGCCTCAAGGAAAGTAACAGTTCTCCTGCCAATCTCAGTCACTGTCACCCGGGTTCAACCTGCACTTTGAGAAACGCTCGGCGCCCCCCCCCCCCCCCGGGTGTCCTGAAACAGTTGGGTTTTTTATCACGGTTGCACCGCTCATTTTCGTCGCAGCCTCTCCATTCATTCTGTCAGTCTGATTATAACATCTTTCACTGAAGGTGATCGGAAAAGTAGAGGGGGCCGATGACGTAGCCCAGGTGGGTGCCCGTCCGGGTCCGAGCCCCGCCACTCGGGAAGGAGAAACGAGAGGTGCCAGTGGTTCCCCCCATCTGCGCAAACGGATGAAATTCTTTGGTCGTGAGTGTTGTTTGATTCCTCTTTAGATACATACATGAACTCCATTTTATCTGTATGCTCGCCAGTTTTGCCTGTGTAGTCACAGTTTTAACTGCATGTTTTGTCTTCTTCAGGGTCCCGTCGCGTTGAGCCAGAGGGGGGAAGTTGATGTGACTCCAGTTTTGCCCAAAACCACAATCAATGACATCAAAGGGAAGACGGAGACGGCTGGAACGTGAACCGATGCATGTTCGCTCATCAGCCCTCTGATGGTCGGTGTTGTCACTGCTATTATTGCTATTTTTGGAATGTATCTTCTTAACGGTGTTACAGAAATAGAGTTTAAAAAATAAATTGCAACCAAAGCTTTACTACACAAATGAATAGTATTCAAAGCTGTAGTTTCTCAGTGTGTCATTTCTGCTTGTTTTGTGACCCTATGTAAGTAATGATAAATAATAAATAGCGCGTTGCGAACGGATCAGCCATCTGTGACCCAATAAACTCAATAAACACTTCAGCAACATTTCTAATGGATGCGAAGTTGCCGAGCTTTCCCCACCGCCTCGACACAAAGAAATATGACGATTCTTAAAGTCTGAAGACGAGTGATAAAATATCAATTTTGGCCTCACATTAAACAAGATAATATTCAGGCCAGCTTGATTTGTATTGAATATGTGTCTGCTGGCCGGTGCTTAGTGTAATGAAGTGGCTCACAAATCAGGCTGTAATGGCCGCCTACTTACACATATTGCTTAATTAAAGGTTGTGAGCTTATTAGCATGTGTCTCTGGTATAGGCTGCGGGAAGATGGGGAAGGGGACTGATGTCGTTCAGGGCTGGGCTTTAAAGCTTTTATAGATATCTAACCTATCATACTAAAGCCGTAGCCCCCTCTAAAATCGGATGTTAATAACCTGTCATTTTCATTGATGATGATTTCCCTTTATGCGCGGCCATTACAGATCAAGTTCTTGGGTCTCGCCGAGCGGCGACAGTGGCCATTTGTGCCCGTCATTAGCGAGAACACACCTTACTTTGGCCTTGAAGTTGCTCCTCAACCTCCATTTTTTAACCATCAGAGTCGTGGCTCTGGGGCGCTGAGCATAATGCGTGTGGACACACACAGAACAAGCTCACACACATGCACACTTGGGCCTTGGCAGAGCAAAAATCCTCGATAAAGGGGAGAAAATCCCGTCACAGTAACTAAACAACAATTTTGGTTTATCAACAAAATTGGGATGACATCATTTTTACAGAGAAACTGTTTAGCAATGTCTGTTGAAACTTTCGTTTTTTTATTTTATTTTACGTGCTAGGCTCATGTTGCATCCTGCCCCACTGTCTGAGTTTGACACTATCCAGAGCCTGCAGAGCTAATGTGCTCCAATTAGAGATCACTCCATTAAGAGTGACAGTGCTACACCCCCCAATTCAATCAGCCCCCCTAATGAACATTAAGCAGAGATGCTGTCTTTCGCAAACCACACGGGTTTCCTCTCCTCCCTCCGACTGTCGTAGGGCCTCTGTAACAAATTGGGGGCCTCTGTGTCTGTGGTCGCAAAAGCAACTTTAAGAACGGCCGAAAGTAAAAGAACAACTCCGCCGCTTTCTGTTTCATGTAAAACTATTCAATTTGACGAACGGCCCCCCCGTTCTCCTCCTGCTCTCTCCCTGTATTTGATGTCTTCTGAGAGAATCATCACCTTTTCTTTTCATGATCATCAAAACAATGCCCCGTGCAGTTGCCTTCCAACTGAGGGGAAAAGGGGGGGGGTGCCGCCACAGAGGTGGCAAAGGTATTTCAGGGGTTCAAATATTTGATTGTTAATGACAAACACCATTTCAACGCAATTTGAATTTAAAATTGATCCCTAGGAGCAATTATTTCCGAGGGAGGAAAACACGCCGCTAGGTCTCTGCTCCGCACATTTGCTGTTTTAATTAAAAAAAAAACCTTTTTTTTTTTTTTTTTTTTGCAGCGCTATCATACGGGAGCTGCAACTTTTTGAAGTGAGTGCCTGAATCTCCTTTCAGAGCCAAACCCAACCTGGGGATCTTACTGGAGAGTGAGAAAAGGAAGGAGGGTGGGGATGAGGGGTGAGCATAAAACATAAAAAGAAAAAAATAACACTTTGTCTAATTCTATATTTATGTAGGACTCAGCTTGAGGTACTCACATAAAACAGTTTGTATTCAGAAGTGCTGCGGTGATCGTTATGCTGCGCGTGGAGATGGGCGACTCTCCGGGCACGGTTGGCGGGTTGAAGCTCAGCCCGATTCATTCGAATTCAAGTTGCTCAGCTAAATACAGGGGATTCAAATTCTCCCTTTCGCTCCCGTTTTTTTTCCTCCCTCTCGGTTTCGATTCTTTCACAGACTGCAATAATTTAACAAAACATACATATTTTAGGGGCAACCTCTGAAGTATTTTCCTTTGATGAAAAAACTTTCTACATTTCCTTTTTTGACCTGCGTTTCTGTTATTTTCTGTGGACAGAAGATTCTTTTTTTTTGTCTTTTTTTCTGTTTGATGTTAGAAAATAATTACGTGGCGTGACTGAAAAAGCTTGGTGTTCTGATGGGTTTCCTTCTTTTTTTTTTTTTAAATCAGAGACAACCTTGAGAAGGCTGAAGGCAAATGGAGAATTTTGACTGCATAAAACAAAAGGAATCAATCAAACAAACAAACAAACCAAAAATAGGGATTAAAGCATAACACATTTTAGCCCCTTCCCAAAGTTTGGCAAGCAGTGTAAATGTTAATGATCTTTCCACTATCCAACCACTATTTTTTAACAAAAAGGACCTAAAACTGAATAGAATTAAACTAACTTTTTTATATATTGTTGCAGTGAAATGTCCACTGATCTCATCTGTGACATCTGCAACACCAGCACCGTGGTGACATTTACACCAGTGTAGAACAACAAATACATACAAAACAGATTCAAATTCCAGGCCTTTAGTCAGATTTCTTTTCTCTAAAGCTGTATTCTTGTCCACTGACCCCAAACATGATTTCCTGGTGCTTAAGCCAAGCAAAAAAAAACACACAGTCGGTATGTGAGACGACGACGAGGACGAAACCGTGCCATATTTCTGTGGCATCTGGACGGATCATGTGCCTCTCTGCGCGGATATTTATTTATTTTCCCTCTTCCAGAGCAGTGTCAGGGAGGCAGATGTCCTGCTCACGGGAAAAAATCATTTGCGGTGGAAAAAAAGGGGAGGGGAGGTGAAGGGAAAAATATATGAATATGCAAATCTTGTCACAGTGTGGAACCTTGTAATGAGTGGGAAATGTTGTCGCCATCTTTCATTATGCAGAGGTCATTGCTTAATGCCAGGCAGCTGGGCCCAGCTTCTTCCTTGTGAGCCCCCCCCCCCCCCCCCAGAACCCTCTCCTGTCATCCAACGACAACTTCAGCCAAATTTCCCCCTCTGCATGTTTAATTTGTCACAAGAAATTGTTGTCTCTTGATTCTTTCTATACCTCCACCTACAGGATTAGGGCAAGTCTCCCTTTCCTCACAATTTAAAGACACCCTTACCAGATAAATGCAAAAACATGAAGTGAATTGTACTTTTTTTTTCTAATTAAGATTCTTTACAGATACACGAGTCGTGTATAATCTGTTACATGTCACAGAATGAGACGCAGAAGCTCAAGAGCTAAGATAGTGTGAAGGTTGCTGGATCAGACCCCAGCTTCCTACTTTCGCATGTCCAATTGTCCTCAGGCAAGAGAGCGAATTGGTCTTTTGGAAATGTTGGATTTTGGACAATTGGTCAATTGGAATTGGTCCAATTGGTCCTCATTGTGTCGCTCATTCGTAAAAAAGTATCTGCAAGTCGTTTAAAAATTCAAGCAACCACCAGGGCTCCAAAGTTTACTCTTGAAGACCTTTGGAAATCATCTGCAGATGTAAAAAAAAACAAAAAAACAAACTCATATTGTTTGGGATTTCACCACGAAGCAGGACGGTGGAAGGCCTGACTGAGAAGTTCTGACCGGCCATCTTTGTTTGGAGTTTTCAAAGTGCTCTAGAATAACTTTTAGATGACAGGTGATAACATTCTCGAAAGATCAAAAGGAAAACTGCTTCCCACAGAGCAGAGGTGTGGTAACGTTAAGCCGTGAGCTCATTGGCCGTGAGGAGAAGACTCATCAGAACTTAACGGGAAAAGGCTTGTGTCTAAATACAGAAAAACAGAAAGGTTCCTCAAGAAATCATTCTTTGCCAGGCCTATGAATTTTGGCTTTATCCATCAGCATGATGGGAAAAAATGACTGAGACATTATGTTACTGGAACATAATATAAAGACAGAATATATGGGGGCATTATGCAAATATCACAATGCAAAGCTCACTTATAGTTGTCGTAGTCACTCCATTTTCTTTTGATCATTTTTTTTGCTTGATTTAGTTTGGCGAGACTGCTGAGCTCACTGCTGTTCCATCTTCTCGTGCAACAGATTCTTTCAGATTTCCACTGGCGCCTCCCCGACACTGAGCAATGGCACTAATCATTAGGTAAACCCGTCTTCCTCGTTTCTTTACACTCTTCAAATAATCCCGGGCCTGAATGCTAAAAATGTAATGAACTTCACGGTTCATTGTGTCTGACATTGCTTAATTAATGGGTGCATTTAAGTACATAGGGCCTCCGTAATTGATTTATATGCATGATTTGCACATACAGCTGTTGGTTCCTGTAGGAGACTCATCACTCAAAAAGTGGCTGCACTGATGTTCGGCGGGGTTGGTGATATTAAGATTTTCTTTTGGCCTATCCAGCCTAGGGAACGGAAGGCCAATCCACATAATAGAATATTTTACTTTGAGATTGCAAAGAACTACCCAAGAACTTGGACCTGGGCTTTTTAATCTAGTATTTTCCGGGAGACCCTTTTAATGACTCAGCCTTGTCCAGTCAATGTTTTTAATTTGAAAACCCTTTGCCTCGTGTAACATAGGTGGATGATTTAGACTCCGTAGATATATTTCAGGCTATGCCTGACAATATAATTGGACCAAGTTCATTTTGTGCCACATGGCAAACATCCAGCCTCTGTTCACCTGTCTTCCTCCGTCAAACTCTTTTCATTTCCACACATATAGTTAAATAACAGGCAAAATTTAGAAATTTTACCAGACA